CCCCGCTAAATATCGTACAGTCCCCTACCGGCAGTAGAAGATTTTCTGTCTTGCTTGGCTGGAAAATTTGGATAAATTTGAGAGGTAAGACTTTCCTGTTGTATTATCAATCTGAATAATAGATAGAAAGCACTTCACACGCAAAACGGTTTAAGCCTCGGTCACAACCCGCCGTACGTGCTTTTTGTCGGTACGTTTTTTGGGAAGCTACGTCTGCTACGTTTTTTCTGAAAACGTGGGGAAGGAGTGGCATCGACGCACGTCACTCGCACGGTTTCGCAAAGTGTAAAAGTGTGGTCTGCACGCCACGTCTGGCCGTGAGCGGTTGCGTGCATCGTACGTTGTGCAAGGGGTAAGTGAGTTGTACGTAACGTACGATCTCTGTGCGATTGCAACTTTACCGTAAGGAGGCCGTACTCACACGTGCGTCTTTCGTATGGTACGTGCGGGGCACGCGCGTCGCCCGTACTCGCACGCACGGGTGGTGAATCCGTAGACCGCACGCAGAAAAAGTTTTACATGCACTTAAAGTTCTACGGCGTGTCTGCGTGCTCCCAAATCCGTAGGATTCCGTACGGAGGTGGTACTCACCACGCACGGATGCCCTGCGTTCGCCCACGTTTTTGCACGCAGAAGCACGTACGGCCGGTTGTGACCGAAGCTTTATAGATTGATAGCTGCACTAAGCTCCCTAAACTGCCTCAACCGAGTTCAAAACCGCTTACAACATCTTATTGGTAGTGACTTGTTCGCAACCCTACAACCACTCTCACATAGGCGTAATGTTGCAAGTCTGGCGTCATTTTATAGCTACTTCCACGGTAAATGCTCCGCGGAACTTCACTCGCTAGTGCCTCCACTTCGAACATTCTCAGCAAGAAAACGTTTTGCCACTTCCATTGAAGCAAATCACCCTTTCATCCTCCATACACCACCTCTTAGGAGGAAGTTCCACACTGAAAGCTTCTTTCCTAGAACAACATCACTATGGAACAAGCTACTACGTGATTGCTTCCCACATGGGTTCATCCTTAAACTTTTTATAGTCTAAGGTCAACAAACATCTGTCCTCACTGGCTGTACATTAGCCCAAAACATTTAAGTGAGCCTTGTTTTGTTGTGAACTATGAAATGAATAAAAAAAAGAAGATTATCAAGGACACAAGATATTCATGGTAACATTTCTTTCCAGCTAGAAACGTTAGAATAGAATATACTGATTGTAAACAAGTTGGTTTTACTGATCTTTTGGAAAAATGATGAACAATCTTTGCCAGAGTTTATGGTAGCTTTCATTTTTTTCTGTCAATTATATTTGAACACCGGAACAGAAATTTTTACCTATGACCTACTACCTAAAACACATTTCTACTTATTATGACTTACCCTGGGTGCCAGACAGGTATCGGGGCGCTACCCAAACATGCTAATGTGAAGCAGTATGTGTCAATATCGCAAAGATTGCCTTATTCAGACTGAATATTTCCAGTTTTGCTGCCCTGAAATCACATTGGATGCCTTTAAATGGTACACGTATAAGAATTATCATCATATTTTCTTTTTCTTTGTTAGGCCACAGCAAGTAATTTTTATGGATGACATCAGCGCGCGCATTGATTTTCGCCTGATTTTGAAAAAAAAACAAGAAATTTTATTGCCCTCTGACAGTGGTCAACATGCCGAAAATGGGCAAAGATGTCTGTTGCCATGCCGAAATGTAGATGGCAGATTAAATATGAAGAGAGGAGAAAATACAATGCCCTGATTTATTGTTTTTATTGTTTTGTCTGTTACTTTGATGCAGTGATGTATTTAATTCCTTTTGATTTTATATGTGATGTTCCCACTGAATCAAAACCATTTGTACAATGATTGAAAACTTTGATTTTTCAGTGACAAATGGATGTTGTAATAGTTGACAGTAAACGTAGCACAATATGGTATCATTTCTTGTTTAACAAGGTTTATGATGTCAATCTTGTTTTTTCGGCCCGCCTTGTTTTGTTTTCGCCCGCTCGCGTTAGATTTGGAGTCTGCGGAGGATGTCATCCATAAAATTTACTTGCTGTGGCCTAAAACACATTTCTACTAATGACTTACCCTGGGTGCCAGACAGGTTTCGGGGCGCTACCCAAACATGCTAATGTGAAGCAGTATGTGTCAATATCACAAAGATTGCCTTATTCAGAATATTTCCAGGTTTGCTGCCCTGAAATCGCATTGGATGCCTTTAAATGGTACACGTATAAGAATTATTATAATATTTCTTTTTTTACTATCTTTTGTCATTCATTACCTTTTATGCAGAGTCTTACAACACCATGGGTAAAAATTACGCAGGTGTGCTGATATTCTTTCTTGTTACTCTGACGGTGTTTGGACCAACGAAAGCTCCATGTACCTGCTCATTTTATAAATACTGTAGATGTGTGATGCTGAACCTCACTAGCATTCCACAGAAACTACCGATACCACGTGCAGAATCCTTGTCTTTGACACACAATCTGATCACTACTTTAGATCAGTCCGATTTCTCACAGCACGGCTTGAGACGTTTAGACATGGGAAACAACAAAATCATCACAATTAATAACAACGCATTCTATTCCTTGTCAAATTTGACATCGTTAACCCTTAACAGTAACTTATTAACAAAGCTTAAACCGAACATGTTTACGGGGTTACGTAATTTGGATATCCTACGAGTGAATGATAATGACATCATTGATATTCAGGCCGGAACGTTTGCTACGATGCCCAAACTAACAAACTTGCAACTGTCCAGGAACAAGCTAACACGTCTAAGATTTAACATGTTTAAAGGGTTAGAAAATTTGACAACAACTTGACCTGATGTTTAATAACATCTATGAAATTTCAGCCGGAACATTTAGAGGCAACGTCGAACCTAAGAAGCCTGCACTTGAGTCATAACAATGTAACAAATCTCAGATTTAACATGTTAAGAGGGTTACCAAATTTGAAAACCCTAACCCTATCGAATAATCGCATCAGGGACATTGAGGCTGGAACTTTCAATTCAACTTTAAAACTTGAAGGTTTGGCCCTTGATAGCAACAGACTAGCAAGCCTAAGAGCTAGGATGTTCACAGGTTTGGGTAACTTATTACAACTGGATCTAAAATCAAATGTCATCAGTGACATTCAGGCTAGAACATTTCTCCCAACTTCACAGCTAAGCAGTCTGAACCTAAATCGTAACAGGCTAACAAGTCTCAGAACTAACATGTTTACAGGGTCGATAAACTTAGCGATACTCAATCTAGCATTTAATAACATCAGTGATATTCAATATGAAACATTTACACTCAGAAGTTTTACTTGGCTCAATTTGCAACGCAACAACATCAAAGTATTACCCATGATGTCTTATAGAACGCTGTCATCCATTCGTTCTGTTATCATTAAAAACAACCCTTGGCAGTGTGACTGTAGGATGCTTCCCTTTAGGACACAAATGAATGGCTCTCATTCATTTGAAGACCAGATAGTTTGTTCCCAACCTTCCAACTTAATCGGGCAAAAGCTTAAAGATATTGACCCTGAAGATCTGATTTGTGAACCAAATATTGTGAGGTTTGAGGGAAACAAACAAAATAACATGTCTACCCTGGGAGAGAATTTGGTGTGTGAAGCTTCAGGTATCCCCACACCAGACATCACAGTGACCCTCCCATCTGGACTGAACAAAACTGTTCAGTCAGTGGGGAGGGTGACAGTAGGTGCCAACAGTACTGTCACTATAAACGTTACTGCAGATGTTACTGGTCTGTACGTCTGTACCGCAACTAGTCCTGTTGGCTCTACATCTGCCACACTGTCTGTAGAAGTCCGCATGGACAAACCCACGCACCCTACATTAGAACCTGACCTGCACAACTCCACAAATTGTACATTAGAACTTGAGCCGGATAAGCCCACAACTGTTATATTTGAACCAGAGCTGGACAAGTCCGCAACTTTTACATTAGAACCGGCGCTAGCAGTTTTCCCAGATCTTACTATCACAGGAAGATCAGGCAAACCAGAAAGCGGCAGTGGTGAGGAGTCTGGTCTTAGTGTCTCCCTAACTGTTCTTGTTGGTGTTATTTGTGCCATAAATGTAGCTGTCCTCATCGGTGTCATAATTGTCGTGATTAAATGGCACAAAAGGAGGAACAACAACGTCCCTTCACACCCAGACCCCCAAAACAGCACATCTGTAACAGCTAGTCAAGATCAGACAGCATTGGCTTTGGCTCCAGCTGCAATTAGATCCTTGATAGGAAACCCAATGTATGACACAGGGACAGCCGTTGCACAGCATACACATGGAGATGTTGATCATATATCACCAACCGACTCTACAGACCCAAATTCTAATGGCTTCACAGCCACAAACAACACAGCTAATGTTACAGCTAGTCAAGATCAGGCAACAATGAGTGACTCACGGGTTGTCATTAAATCCATGACAAACCCACAGTATAACACAGGGACTGCAGTCTCAGAGCATACATATGAAGATGTGGATAATTTGTCACCAACAGGCTCTACTGACCCAAACTCTACGGACAGTACAGCCACAAACAATACAGCTAATGTTACAGCTAGTCAAGATCAGGCAACACTGAATGAGTCAAAGGTTGTCATTAAATCCATGATAAACCCACAGTACAACTCAGGAACTGCAGTCTCGGAGCATACATATGAAGATGTGGATAATTTGTCACCGACAGGCTCTACTGACCCAAACTCTAATGGCTGCACAGCCACAAACAACACAGCTAATGTTACAGCTAGTCAAGATCAGGCAACAATGAGTGACTCACGGGTTGTCATTAAATCCATGACAAACCCACAGTATAACTCAGGGACTGCAGTCTCAGACCATACATATGAAGACGTGGATAATTTGTTACCGACAGGCTCTACTGACCCAAACTCTACGGACTGTACAGCTAATGTACATGTAACAGCTAGTCAAGGTCAGCAGGCAGCATTGGGTGAGGTTAGCACAAACATAAACCCACAGGATAACTCAGAGACAAGTGTTTTAGAGCATACATATGACAATGAGGATATGTTACCAAGAAATCCTACTGACCCAGAAACTATAAACAACACAGCTACAGTAACGGCCAGGCAGGATGAGACAGAATCAGGTTGTTATCAGTCTGAGACTATAAGTCAATCCTCAAACCCACAATATGACTCAAGGACCGTTGTCTCCAGTCAGTGCCATTATCTCTACAAAGAAACATCCCCCAAAACCAAAAACAACAACAGCTACTGTTACAGCCAACCAAGATGAGACAGAATCAGGTTGTTATCAGTCTGAGACTATAAGTAAAGCCTCAAACCCACACTATGACTCAAGGGATGTTGTCTCCAATCAGTGCCATCATCTGTACAAAGAAATATCCCCCAAACCAAAAACAACACCAGCTACTGTTACAGCCAACCAAGATGAGATGACAGAATCAGGATGTTATCAATCTGGGACTACAAGTAAAGCCTCAAACCCACACTATGACTCAAGGACCGTTGTCTCCAGTCAGTGCCATCATCTGTACGAGGATACATCACCAAGATCCTAAGATCTCTCGAGTTGTAAGCCTTAAAGGCCACCGGAAGTGATAAAAACAAGCACATTTATGTTAGTTTTACATAATAAACTGCAAAACCTTTAGGCAAAAGCCTTTAACACACTGAAATAGACGTTTGAAAAGTTAACTCACCAATTCTTGAATACTTAGCATCCAACTTTGAAAAGATTATTAGCTTTGAAAAGATTATGATAACAATTCCTTATGTATGTATGTATTATTTCATATCAATTTCATTTCATCTCAATTTATGTATACTACTGTTTCATTATTGTTATTGTATCATTTTGCCTATGTTTGAATTATTTTGATAACAATTCCTTATGTATGTATGCCTTATTTCAATTCAATTATGTTTACTTTTGGTTTGTATAGAGGAGGAGGGCTTAGCATAAGCTAAATACGCTTTTTCCCTCCTCCTGCACCTGTTTTATTAATTATTAATTTATTATGTATGATTTTTATT